GTTTTGACGTGTCCAAGGTGATGCATTTGGGTTTTATAAACCATGGAAGAGAAAGCAAAGGCAGAAGGGAGGAGAAGAAACCAGCAAATGGGTTTTCTTGGTCTCTATGTTTAGGGGAAGGGCTCTCAAAGCAGGTTTTAGTCAGAGATAAATTAAAAAAAAAATTCAAACATAAACCTCAAACCTCATCATGCCACTCCCCCCAGGCTGTCCATCATATCCCAGGAAAAACCAGAGATCCCAGTCCACTCCAGCAGACAATACAAGGGTTAAATGCAGCCAGAGCAACCAAATCCAACCCTGGTTTGGATCTAGGGGTGGTAAAAAAGACACCTGAGGAGATGCAAAGCCAACTGTGACACTGGAGGGGGGTGGGAAAACTGGGAAGGGGGTGGAGAAGCAGAAAGGGCTGGATCCATGTTCAGAGGGGTGGAAAAAAGTGTTTAGAGAGCAAAAAATACACAAAGCTGAATCCTGGTACAAACACTGAGGGTCTTTTGGGATTGGAGAAGAACTTTGGACAAGGGATGGAGGGACAGGACAAGGGGGAGTGGACTTAAGCTAAGGAGGGTGAGTTGGATGGGATATTGGGAAGGAATTCCTGTCTGGGAGGGTGGGGAGGCCCTGTCCCAGGTTGGGCAGAGAAGCTGTGGCTGCCCCTGGATCCCTGCAAGTGTCCAAGCCAGTTTGGAGCAACCTGGGCTGGTGGAAGGTGTCCCTGCCCCTGGCAGGGGGTGGAATGAGATGATCTTTAATGTCCCTTCCAACCCAAAGCATTCCATGATTCTATCATTTTCCTTAGGAAATCCTGAGATGCAACATACAGGGAGTCACAGAGGATGGTGGAGGTTGGAAGTGCAGGTGGTACCTGGAGCTCCAGGGATCGACTGGAACCCCGAAAGCCCGGATGAAAACCCCGGGATTTGGACACAACGCCAGCTTTTCCTCACTAAACCAACACAGCAACCGAATCTACAGGGCTGGAAAAGTTTGGGTTTAAAACCCAAATGTCAACCTGTCACCAGGGAATCCCAATCCAACACGGGAGGCACCTCCTGGCTGCGGGAACGCCCCGGGATCGTCATTCTCCCAGCAGGATCCGGGTGCTGCTGCTCTGCCAGGGCTGTGGGGTCATCAACCCCTTGGAAGCCCAGGGTTGGCTGCAATCTCTTACTTATCTGCAGGAACATCCCCCCCCCACCTCCAGGGCAAGGACAAGCTCAGGAATTCCAAGCTGCTTCTATTTCTTCAAAGAACTTCAAACCGAGCTTTCTCCCTGTCCCGGCGGCGTTCCTGCCCGTTCTTGTGGAATCTCAGAATCCTTAAGGTTGGAAAAGGCCTCTAAGACAATGAGAACAGCCATCCCCCAGCACTGCCAAGGCATGTGCAAGCACTAAATCATGTCCCCAAAGTGTCACATCCACAGGGATTTTAAACCCCTCCAGGGATGGGGACCCCACCACTGCCCTGGGCAGCTGGGCCAGGGCTGGAGAACTTTTTCCATGAAGAAATTTTCCCAATATCCAACCTAAACCTGCCCTGGCACAACTTGAGGCCATTTCTTCATGCTCTACCTCCCATGTGCTCCACACACCAAGTAAGGACAAAATTGAAGCATTCCATGAAAAAGCCCATGGCAGGGGGTGGAATGAGATGGTCTTGGATGCTCTGGAGCCAGGCTG